AGGCATGCTGGTGACCTCTTAGATTTTGTGCTACTTTTCCTGACCTGTGGTATACATCCTAACTGAACCTCTAGTACTGAGGTTCTGAGTAATCCCCAAGCCTTTTCAAGAGATTTGATGCTCTTGACTGTTCCTTTCAACTTCTCCAGTATGCCCTTCCTTGCCATTCCTGTGGAGTTTGTATCCAGGGATGACCATGTCCCACGGGTTATCTACCTTCCACCAGGTTTCTGTTATGTTCACTATATCCATGTTTTCCATTAAAATCAAGCACACCAACTCCCCCATTTTAGGCTGGAGGTTTCTGGCATTTGCATAGGAACACCTTCACACTGTGTTTCTATCTAGATGTCTTGGTGTTGGGATTCTTTTTAAGTAATTCAGCCGAGTATTAAGAGACTGAGTCCATGGTGTGTATTAAAATATAAAAGTTTACTATAAACCTAACATGGGAAAAGGTACACAGGATATAAAATAACAAAGAGCTAATATGCCTACATCCTTGCAGCTAAAAGGTAAAATGGGAAGAGCCGAATGGCGTCTCCTTCTCAGTCAGAACAAAGAGAGGAAGGCGAAACCAATATGCTAAATACTTGACACCTTGGTTTCCAATCAGAGTAGCAAATTAGCTCCAAAGTTCCCGGGCATCCTATTGTCTAACCAGATTGGTTACAAACAAACATGTGACTTAACAAACATCATTAACCCTGTAAATACTGAAGTGTTTTGACTTGTAACCCACAACACTTGGGCATGTGCTTTTTCCACTCCAGCCCTTTGGCCTCTGACTGGCTATCCTGCTTGACTTTATCCACACTTTCCAATCCCCATGCTCAATTCCCATCAGTCCATTTTCTCCTTCATCCCTCTGGGACAAATCTGCATGAACTGGATGCTTCTCAGCTCCTGTTGAATGCTTAGGTACCTTTCAATTCCTGTACCCCTATATTTCCCTAAGTATATTCTAAATCTTGTTTTGGAAAATATCTGGTTGTTTCATGGTTGCTGGTAGCCTATTAGAGGCATTTTGAGTGTTCTTGCACATCATTCAGGTAAAGAGTCCTAAACTACATGTTGTGCTCTCCCTAACTGGCAAGTGTGACAGTTGTCCAAGGTAGCCAGGCTGTGGGAACGGGAAGTGGTTTCACCCAACACTGAACTTAATTCCCTCAAATTAGTCATGGTTCTGGGTAAATGATCTAAACTCTAGTTAGAGTGTCCACATGTATATAAGGCAAGCCCATAGCCATGGGGGAGGGTGATGGTGACACCCCCCACAAATATGCCCAGTCCCTGCAGAAGGGGAGGGAGAGGGGCATCCTCACCCGGGTCTTCCTCTTTCCACAGCCGGCTTCTCAAAGTTTGAGAAGCCCGGTGTGGCTGCCCCTCTCCCTCCCCTCCTGCACGGCTTCCTGCTTTCTGCTGCGGCTGAGCAGGAAGGGAGGGAGAGGGGCAGCCTCTGCGTGGCCTTGCCAGGTCTTCCTGCTTCCACATCTGGAAGCAGGAAGACCCTGCGAGGCCTTCTCAAAGTTTGAAAGCCTGCTGCAGAAGCAGGAAGACCCTATGAGATTTTCATAGAGGTTACTTCTGCGTGGCCTTGCCAGGTCTTCCTGCTTTCGCATCTGGAAGCAGGAAGACCCTGCGACGCCTTCTCAAAGTTTGAAAAGCCTGCTGCAGAAGCAGGAAGACCCTGTGAGGAATGGTAAATTCACCCCCCACCAACAGATCCAATTTGCCCCCCCCCCCAAAAAAAACATTTCTGGCTACGGGGCTGGTATAAGGACACACCTGAAGGAGAGCTTATGGTAACAATACTTTAGGACTCAGGGGGGAAAGTCTTAATAGTTGTATCCATTATATTTTTAACTGTTTTTAATATACATCAGCCATTGTGCTCTGTCTTCAGACCTGCCATTGCTAATGACTGGGAGTGTACAGAGGAACTCCATTGCATGCACATCATTCTTGCCGTTGTGATGGCTTGGACTTTGTCATGATTCCATTGACATAACCCTGGCTTACAGCTAGAGTTCACATTACTTTGAGGGCTGCCTGCATGTTTGTGTTTACTCGAGGGCCTAATTATTACAAGGACCTCAGAAATGCATTTTTTCACAATAGTTATTCTATTCTAAATTCTCTACTGATGTTCTTTTAGTCTCTGTGAAGCAAATCCTCCCCTTTCAGTACTGCCACAGATCTCTCTGAGCTGCTCCTTTCTTTTCTTTGCTTACATCATATGGATGTTTTGTGTATGTGTGTGTGTGTTTGCATACCAAAACACACACTGTCTTCTCTTCCTCTCTGCGTAATCATGGCTGTGCATCTTCACCTATGGTTCTTTTCTTTGGTCCCCACCCCTAGGTCTCTTAACAGTCCCAACTCTTCATTCTTCCTTTTCTGCAGCTCCCTTCTCTACAACCTTATCTCCTAATCTCCACTTCTCCTGACTTTGGTAGCAGCAACGCATACAAGGTTTTCACTCCCCTGCACAGTTAGTACCACTGAAGAAACCTCTGATGCAGGTGGACCATGCAGTGTGTCTGACTGGCTGCAACAGGCCGAAAAGCTGGCATGACCCCATGTGCCTCTGAAGGAGAGGAGGAGCGGCATAGACAAAGATATCCTTCTCCTTGCTCCCACTTTTGATGGTCTGGGATGGGCATTAGCTGCTCCCACAGAGATGGGAACAGGCTGTAAACAATGGGCATTTGAGATCCCTGTGAAGATTAAAACCTCAAAAGGTGCTAAACAAAGTTGTTTTATTTACTGAAATGCCTCAAATAAGTATTATAATACCCTTCCTCAGAGACAAGAGGTGATATCTTTTTAATCTCCTAGGAGTTGTTTCTTTTCCTTTATTCTCCCAACTTTCATTGTTTACCACTTTGTGAGATTTGCCTCTTCCCTGGCACTGCTCCTTTTCTTGAATTGTACTGTAGTTTCTCCGTGAGGCTGCAAGTAGGGAAGGGTGCAGTTCGCTCACAGTCTTACATTATGTAGACCTGGCCTAAAGACTTAAGAATCTCCATTGGTCAAATCACAAGAGTGTAGCATGTAGGTCAGTGCACTTGAGGGAAGCACAGGCCATAGCGTGAAATGCCTGTCATATTTCGTACATTCCAGTGGGTTGCTATGTTTGCTGGCTCGTACTAGCAGCCCAACCCTGGCTGTGGCTCATTTAATTTTGGTTCATTTATGTTATCGCCCAATACAAGTCTGTGTGGCAGCTTTGCTCTGTGCAACAATGTCCTTTGGTCATTCTGACTCCCACGGGGGCTGCTGCCCACTTGCAGGCATTTTCTGTGAACATTCTGATGTTGTGGAGATCTCCCAGAGGAAATTAGGAGGTCTGCATCTATCCTAGTTTTGGAGCGACTGCAAAACAGAACTTTTTAGAAGAGATTTTTGGATGCTAGGTTGGTGTTTTTGTGGGTGTCTTGAAGGACAGTGGTTTCTCCTGGATTTAAAAATATTCTACCTGTTACTTTAAACTCTGTTCTTAGAATAAGTTTTGGTGCATTCATTGTATTACTACTTGCTTCGGGTCCCTAATTTCTGGGAGAAAGTTAGGCTTAAAAATATTTTAATAAATAATCCACCACAAAGGCTGATCTCAAAGAACTTCTCTAATTTCCAAGACGTTGATAAACCTTACATTTCAGCTCTGCATTTGTGAATATGGGTGACCTTCCATGCCCATGTCAATCTGATCCATGAAGTGCTCAGAACTCATATCAGCAGAGGGCAGCAAACAGTTGAGTCGAGAGCTAGTGAAAGACAGAGCTGGCTTCAGTGTGAGCTTACAGTGTGTCTGAATTGGAGCTTCTTTGCTTCCACTTCAGCACCAAGTCTAAAGATAAGAAATCTCTGGCACACGTATGCCAAAAAGCTATTATGGAGTGAAATGCTCCCCTCCTCCAATTTAAAATTATGAAATGAGAGATGCCCCATACAAAACTGTTGTTGTTGTTCAGTCGCACAGTCGAGTCAGACTCTTCTCGACCCCATGGACCAGATCACACCAGGCCTTCCTGTCTTCCGCTGTCCTCTGAAGTTTGCTCAGCTTCATGTTCGTTGCATCTATGACACTGTCTAACCATCTCATCCTTTGCCGTCCCCGTCTTCTTTGACCTTCAATCTTTCCCAGCATCAGGGACTTCTCCAGTGAGTGCTCCCTTCTCATTTGGTGGCCAAAGTATTTGAGCTCATACAAAACTACTGAAAGAAAAACTTGCAGGCTAGAATTAGTGACAGTCCACTGACTGAAGAGGTACGAACTTTGTGAGAGATAAATGGGGAGCAAGCAGAGAGGTGAAAATGGATTTAGTACAGTGGGAAAAGGGAAACGTGGAGCATTGATGGAATTTCCTTTGGCATGAAAAGTTCATAGTTTTAAATCGCTGCTCCCTCCTCCATGGCAAGTCCTTAGGGTGAAGAAAGCTGAAGATCTAAATTTAAATAAATGTGGCATGAGAGAAACATCTGCAAACATCCCACTGTGGACTATGTGAACAATATAGGTCTGAATTGGTCCCATCTGCCATACAGCAGACAGGTTAGGATCCAGTACAAAAGTACCTAGGAGTATGTCAGGTCCAGAGATAAGAAGAATGTGTGTGCTTATTCCTCATCTCTCTAAAGAAAGCCCTGTACAAAACCACCTTTTCCAGAAGAAGCAGAAGAGCTGCAAGAACCCCGATGACTTCTGAATGCAGGCTGGCCTGCTTCCCTCCTGTGGAAGATGTCAAGTCACCTGCAAAGCCACGTCTAAAATTCTTGGCTGGCCCACTCTAATTTTACCAAAATGGCCAAACACAACTCGCTTCATGATCCATATACTTCCCAGCAATGACAGATTTTAAAAGGTCCCTTAGATTGCATTACTTCTGCTCAGATCTTTCATGTTTGTAACATCTAAAGCTTTAATGCAGACATATTCATGAATGGTAGGTTAATTCAACGCTTATAACAAAAGTGACCAGACAAAATGATTCCTGTTAACAGCTTTATTGAATAGATAGAATAATCTTTGAATGGTTCTTGTATGCAAGAAACATTGTAAAATCTATTATTACAATCTTTCCAACATGCTTGTAAAAGTTTTGTGCAGGACAATAGAATTGTAATCTAATTCCATGTTAATCACCTCGGGAGGGAGGAACAGATTAAAACACTGTTCAGCCTACATCCTAAAGGAAGAAAGGTGTGTATTTAGCTCACACCAGAATGATTCAGCATTATTTGGGCCCATTTTAATTTTGGAAACAAACAATTTTTCTCCTGGCCGTTTTGGCCAGGGATCCTGGAGGTTTTTTGTCATCTTCTGGGCGTGGAACAGCGGTCACTGGGGGTGTGGAGGGGGAGGTATTTGTGAATTTCCTGCATTGTGCAGGGGGGCTGGACTAGATGACCCTGGAAGTCCCTTCCATGATTCTAAGAGAAATTTCTCTGTTTAACCCCCCACCCCCCAAAAAAAAAACACCCTAACAAGGCCACAAACATGTAAGACCTTGAAAACTCAAATCTTGCCTACAGCCTTACAGAGGCAATTGTAACATTTCTGAGGGTGTTAATATACCTTGGACTAATTTATTTAGATTACTTTCTACAATCACAAAATTTCTGCAGTGTAAAGGGAGAGGACCCTAATCCACTTTAGTTTCTTTTCTCCACTAATGGTATGCTGCAGTTCAGCTTAATTACTAGCTTCATTCTTCTAGTATGTTAATCATTTGCTGGAAATGAGATGGATCCTTTATTGCAACCTGGGTTTGGAAAGGATAGTTCAGGCATGTGCAGCTCTAGGCTGATGTAATACAGACAGAGCTTTCCCCTTTCTCCTGAAGCCTCCATGACTGAAAAGACAGTAACTATTTATGGACACTGGGAGGAGAAAAGTGAAACTGACCTCATCAAACATTTCCATTGCTCAAGGAGGAAGTGACACAGACAGGAACAATGACAAAGCATGTATAAGTAAACTGGATTTTTAGATCCTTTGAGGTACAGTCCTAATAGAACTTTCCAGGGAGTAAGCCCCACTGAATAAAATGGGACTTACTTCTAAGTAGACCTGTTTAGGATTGCTCCCTAAATGTTTCCTGTTGCCATAGGAGAGCTACACCTAGATGGAATCAAAAGTAGCAACTTTCACTGGTTACTTCCAAGTTTGCACACCTTCTAGGAATTATAGCAAAGCCACTGGAAAAGGCAGCTGTATAGCATCATTTCTGGGCATGTATTTTTAAACGCCACTGTTCTCCCAAAGAGGAACGAAGCCTACAGCGGTGGCTACTACAGAATATATTTGTCTAGTAGCAGTAAATGAAAAACTCTTAACATTTATTCTGTTCATTCCTCCGAGCTTAAGAAATATGCTTCATTTACATGCTTAAATATTTTTACCTACTCTGCCTGTACCTCTTTCCCACTCAGGTAGTTTCATCCTTTCCAGCTCTTCGTTCTTGCAAGCCTTAATAACTTTTGATCAGCTTCAATATTTTGCATGTTAATTTTTGTTAAGACTGTTAACGTGTGGTTTGATGCCCCAGTACATGACTGTTCCCAGTGGGAGGAAAGTGTTTGAGGAAACTGTGGCAGCATTTTATAGACAGATACAGCTATGCTCTTTGCTAGTTATAGTGTCCGCTGTGACTGTAAGCATGAATCTGTGCTAAAGGGGCTGTTGTGCTGATGCTATCTATGGTGAGTTCCAGCCAATCACAGCAATTTGGAACCTTTTAGTGTCTTCAAGAGCCTATAGAATAGAGTCATACTTGTTTGGCCAGCTAACAAACAAGGAGGTGGACCAGAGAAAACACTGGAAAGCAGCAGGTACTGGTACTGCATTAATAATACATTTGCAGGAATTGGTGAAATGGTCTGGATTTTTCAGAGGGTCAGTCTGGGTAAGCTCAGCACTGATAAAGCATTGACTACTGGAATGAAGATTTCAGAGCAAACAGTCCACTTCCTTACTGGGAATGGGCAAGTGCTCCTGCCCCCTGCCCGAAGCCAAAGCCCTTTGGTCCAAAGTTCTTGGCGTAGCAGCCTGCAGAAGAGGAGAGGTAGAGAGAAGCAATTAGTACTTGTGCAAACAGTGGTTGTCACAGTGCGTGGGCTGGGAGAGAAACCAGAACATTTAAAGGGGCTTTAAGTCTCACTGGACAAGGGTATCGGCTCATAATGAAATAAAGGTACACCCAGATTTGGTCTCCTGCTTCCAGGTCAAACTGTTACACATGATGGCTGCTGTGTGTAATAATTTCCCCACAGTATTGTTTTTTTTACCCCGAGACTGCAATCTGCAGCAATTGCTGGGTAGAAAGATGGAGATTTCTAGTGTGAGGGGGGAAATCAGAGGAGAAAAGGTTAAGATTGTCATACGCTACAGATTTCCGCAGGGCCTGCAAGACGGAGCTCTTCCACCAGGCTTTCAACTAAGAGCTGCCGCCACTACCACTATGGCCAGTATTACCATCTATGATTATTAATACCATCAACTCAATAACAACAGAAGCCTGGTGCCTGGTCTATTACTGATAGCCTGTGCTTGCCGACGGAAACTGAGAAATACCAATGAGCTGAATATCAAGTGAACTTATAGAATATATGAGGCCATCTTTGATATTATAAGTTAACTGCTAGCACTTTAATATAATGTTAGTTTTAATGAATTGCTATTGAATTGTTTGATTAATTGTTTTTAGATGTCTATGATTTTTATTGTTATTGTGCTTTTATGATGTCAGTCGCCCTGAGCCTGCCTTGGCGGGGAGGGCGGGGTACAAATTCAAATTAAAAAAAAAAGATTTCTGAAAATGAAAACTGAGAATCAGTTATAGTTTGGCGCTCAAATATGCAAGGTAACAAAACTGATATAAAAATGTGTTTTAGTAATTTCTATGGGCTGAGACTTGGAGTAACTTCGTAGGAATGGACTGTAAATCTTTTTAGAAATTATATTTCAGTGGACGCTGAAGAAGAAAGAAAGGGATCACTCTGCTTTGCAGTCACACTGAAAATCAATAGTACAGGTGAGAACAGGTATTCAGTTATTCAGTAAATGTCTAACAAACTGTTCATGGAACCTAACAGCATCCTTTGCCACAGTTTTACATCTTAGCTCTCTGCAAGCATCTGGAGAGGGATATAATATCTCCTGAACATCTGCATTCCACTTGGCAGCTGCCTGGTGACCTGTCAAAGGTTAGTCACCCAACTTAAGCAAGGTATCTGAGAATATGTACCTTTGCAGTAGATTTCACCATCCTTATCAGCCAAAGTTGTAGACTCCAGGCTTTTGCCACACTTTGCACATCGGAAACAGGATTTGTGCCATGACTAAGGACAACACAGGGAACAGTTATTAGAGTACGGGTAGTATTAATTAGATGATTCACACGTAGGAAGTTGGTGGTTGCCTATGCCATGTGTATGGTTAGCTCTAGTTATACTGCCTTTAACATAATCTATTGCAAAGGGTTCCAGGGGTCAAGTGTATGATAAAAATTAAGCACATATATATACCCACAAGCCTCTTCAGTACCCACAAGCCTCCTCAGTACCTATACTTGATGAAGTAGGTTCTTCCCTATAAAGGATTGTTAGCGGCTAAGGTGCCATGGAACTTTGTCTTATTCTGCAAATGGATGGAAGCTCTGTTTCCTTTCGGAAGAATAATGGAAGAGGCAAAACTCATGCTAAGGATGTGTGTTTGGATATTTTTGGTCTGATTATACATCAAAAATACTTTATCCGTATTTGGGGTATATTTGGGTCTTTTCTGGAGTAATATTGGGACAGATATTTGGGATTCTTGGAATACTAGTATCTGGGTGCCAAATATTTCTGGAAATATTTAGGGATATTGAGGACTGATATTTTAAGGCTCACAGGCCTGTTTTTCTTCCATCTGACAGGTTTCCCAGGTAATGTGGGTCTATTTGCATCTGCAGGCTTTTGGCCAGTGGTTGCTCTTGCGTGTTTGGTTATTGGCTTCTTTGCCTTAGAGAAAGCATGGGATTTTTTCCCCCATAGGAAACAATGAAGTCAAGTAGGATGGCAGGGGGCACCTTGTTCAGGGACCTGTTGAATTGAACCCCTTTAACCAATTCACCTGAAACTTGGGGGTGTTTCTAGTGGAGATGCAGGATTAGGTTCACTGCAATTTTGGTGTCATTTGCTTGAAAAACAGCCATTCCAGTCCCCCAGAAAGAGTCCACCCCCATAAGACCAAAAAAAGGTCATAATTTGGTGGGGGCAGGCGGGCTGAATCAGAATGTTGAAATGGTATGGGGGACTTGAATATTCTGGAATACCACTATGGAACCCATTCCTGAAATCTGAATCTGAAAAATACTGATTCTTTTTTCAAGCGCACTCCTTAGCTCATGCTACATGTTATACAAAGAAACACATGGGCTGTGTCTCTCCCTACATCTTCCTAGTACTGTACAGTAGGGAAAAATGCAGATCATTGTATCACTGCCGTTCCACTCCCTTTCTCCCCTACAAGTTCTAGTCAAAGTTGAATGGAAGCAGGACATGTATTTTTTTCTCCTCCAGCTACACATGACTGGGAAACGAGGGACAAGACTGAGATTAGTGGTACCTCTTTTTAATATTATTCGTCTAGAGCCCTTACCTTCCCAGCGCCAACCACTTTCTCTGCCGCATACACAGCTTGACCACAGCGGGGGCAGCCATCAGCACCTCCCACTTTCTGTGCCACCTTGGATAGGTTGGGGTTGTTGGTGGGATAATGGGGTTGTTGCCTAGGAATCCAGAAAGGAAAACAGTCATTCTGTGAATATGTATGTAGCACTTGTGGATGAGCCAGTTCAGGTTGTGACTCAGGGGTGGGAGAAGTCCATCAGGACACTAGGGGCACCGAAGCAGCTATAGGTGAGTGGTTCAGGGCAGAAGAGATCTTAATGTTTCATTACTGAATGGAAGCTCAAACAAACTTCCGTGATCATCTGGATGAGGCTCCTGGACTCAGCAAGATCATTGAGTATAACCACATACTCAACACAGCCTGTGGTGGATTCAAACCAGCCATTTTCTGTGAAAACAGCTTGGATTCCAGAAGGTATCTGGAGCCTGATTCATGAATCAGTGTTCCTGGTGCTGGAGGCTCAAGATGGCTTCTGTTCTGCTGGTGTACTGCCTATTATGCTGACTGAATATGCTTTTCAAGGTTGAACCTTAAGTAGTTTTCAGAAGCATTTTGCCCCCCAAGCTGTCTTCCCACCCCCAGACACATACCTTCTGACGGAGCCTGCTTCAGGGCTTGGGAGTCTAGCTGGGGAAAATGCAATGAGGAGAAAAGCAGCAGAAGTGTTCAGCACCCTTTCCCCACCTGCTGCTTCTATCTTTTAAAAACCACTTCCCACTTTGCTTTGCAACTGTGTTAGCAAATCTGCATGGGTTTGTATCCTAATGTGATCTTAGGGCTTTGTTCCAAGCTGGCATTTGGGGTCTGGAATTAACTAGGAAACAGGCAAGGATTCCAAAACTGTTTTGCTTTAAACTGGATGTTTATCTAGATGTTTATCCTTTCATTTTAAAAGCAGTTCTGGGTCAGCACAAACTTTGCATTATTGGGACTCCAGCGACAGCATTACGTTGTGACTAAGCATGAAATAAAAACTTTGTTTACTGATTATAACAGATCAAATGGACTCTTTTCTTAGTAAGCAGCAGAAGAAAAAGATAAAGTTGTTGACTCACTCTTCGTGTTTGATCCCTAGTGCTTCCCCCTTGTCCATGCTTAAGGTCCCTGCTCCCTGTCCAAATCCGTAGCCTTTTGGCCCATACTTCTTGCCATAACATGACTTGCAGTAGATCTCTTCTCCATGAACAGCCACTGTTGTGCTGTCCAGGTTCTTCTTACAAACCACTGCAGAAATAGGAAAGAGACAATCAAACATTATTCATGAGTTCAGAGAACAGACCTGGTTTCTAAATAGGTGACCTGGGGAGATTTTTGTGGGTAGCCAATCAACATCAGCACCTATGGAATCAATTAAATGTTGTGTTACAATAACAATGCGCCCAGCTCTTCCTTTCTTATACACTGGTCAGTTCAGATGATGACTATTCCACAAAGGAAAGCTGAGAAGCAGGATACACAAACGCAGCAAGTTACAGATAAGGGGGAAAAATAGCTAATCAATCTGGGAGGTCAGATTTATAGATATCATATAAAAGATCTTGTTGAAAGTCAGTTTTGAGTAATAAGCCCATCAGGTGCAATACTCCACAATGGATACAATAACAAAAACAAAATGACTTTACAACTTGGTCAGGCCAGAAAGTACACACTTTGCAAATATTATGCATGGGCAGGTACTGACCATAGTCAGACATGGACTTAAGTTGCAAAGAATTGTCAAGAAATCCAGCTACCTCATCAGCAACTCATTGAAACATTGTCAGAAGTGCAGATTTTTGGAATCATCCAGTGTCCAGCATTGTCACTAGCCCTGTTCACACATTACAGTGAATGCACAAACATCTGCTTGTAAGAAAGAACCAACACATGTTCACTCTACAGATGACAGTGGGTACCAATGCCTGGATAAATGTGCACCTTGAATCACATGTTCAGCTGTACATGCAATAAATGTAACATGAGAATTACTCAACATCCATATAAAGAAAAATCAAATGCACGCTGTTCATGGTTTGTACGTGTGTTCAATGTAAATTGTGAACTGGGCTACTGCCTTCATGTCTACGCAAGCACACTGTCCCTCTTTAAATACACATTACAACCTGAACACAGTTACATAGTTTATCTAAGTGTACTCCCTGACTATGGAAGTTATAACAGCCCCAGATGGCGTGGTGGGAAGACAAGGACAGCAGTAAGAGTGAGAGAGATCAAAGTAATAGCTCGTTGTTTAAACAGCCAAGAATTGTCCTCTAATTTTCAGTCCCTTCTAATTCCAAAGGACTTTTTTTTTGCCAAGTATTGAGTTCAATAACATCCCTTAAGAACTTGTAACTGCCAACAGCATAAATCCTCATCCCGCTCAATGTTAAAGTCTCAGGAAGGGACAGCATGCCTCACTGCCAGAAGAAAAATGTCTTACGCTTCAAGAATGCAAAAACAAACACAGTGTGCTCCCCTAGGAATGCCACAGTAGCAATGCACTCTTCTACCTTGCTACCAAATATGGGACTTTGAACACTGCACTTCCTCTCCTCATTACCAAATATGGTGCTTTTCTTTTCTGACTGGCTTTGGCCTCTGATGAGAGAATCAATAGCAGGAGAAAACCAAGATGTGTGGCCATGAAAGGAAGACTGCTTGAAAACACTAGTTCAGCAGAAATAGCTAACGCTTCTGTGACTGGCCTGGAACTGGGTTCTGTGATTGCTCAGCACAGATGTTCTGTTCATCACTTCTGTTTAGGTGCCACTAATTCAGTGGGCATGTTTTGTTGCCTCTTAGGTCAACCCAGATAACTCAAGGAGGATTGGCTTTGATCAGAGATTTTATTTGATTTTGTCTGGCATTTACCGTTCTTTCATTTCAGTCTTGTCCACCTACACTGTTTTTACAAGATTTCTCCACCCCATCTACAGATGTGAGGCCACAGCCAAATTCTTTGCTTAAACAATGGATGCCTTTGAATTCAGGCCTTGAACTCCAAGGTTGTGATGCATACATCAGAGTTCAGAAAACCTTTAAAAGGCCTACCCCACACCCACTCTGACAGCAGTTTAGCTAGGGTGTGTGTTTGATGCAATTCACCGCTTATTTACATGTCTGTCTTCTAATGCACTATGTTGCTGTCAGTAGGGCTTCCAGGCCCCTGGTGGAGGCAAGGGTCCGCCCCCTGCCAGGCCCTGCCCCCCAGCTACCCATCAACTGGCTGGTGAGGGGGGTCTTACCAGGAGAAAGGCTGAGGCCTCATAGCCAGAGTCACACAGGAAGTGATGTCACAGAGTTTTTGCCCAAATACCAGGCATCACCCAAATGTCACAGCATGATATGTCATTTATTTTGTGACACTGGTGACAAGACCTGGGCCTTTATCTTTCTCCTCGCAAGTCCTCCCTGTCCCCCGTCAGTTGCTGGAACGGATGTGGCAACCTTAGCTGTCAGTCTTAAGCCAGTGAAACAAGAACCAATTCACGACTGATGTGATGTACACTTGGTCAGAGCAAGTGTGGTCAAGATTACAAACTGAACAGGGAAAAATGTCCTGACCCTTTATGGGCAGCCGAAGCTCTTCATGGCATGAAGTTAAATAACGATACCTGATAATTGCTCGTAGCTCAAATTGATGTTAAGGGGACGATTAGAGGAACCAGTTTAAATGCTGGCAACCATGTATGTGGTCCATTTGCAATATCTGTCCAGGAAAGTTGATTCGTTTAGGAAATTTCTCTGTGCAAAGAGACACCAGAGCCTGAATCTCATTTTGTACAGTTTAAAACAGTTATATAAATTTTTAAACTTAATTTAGTTAGGACCATCCTGATTCTGGGTAGTTTTTATCTTTTGTTGTGCTGTCTTCAACAGATTGAGATCCTTTATTATTTGCATTGTTTTAATTACAGTATACCACTTTTTATACTTGAATTGGGGGGAAAATGGTGTAAACATTTCATCGCATTAATTTCACATGCAAATAAAGTGATGCTCAAAATCCTACAACAAAGACTGTTGCCATATATGGAACAAGAAATGCCAGATGTTCAAGCTGGATTCAGAAAAGGGAAAGGCACTAGAGATCATATTGTGAATTTACATTGGTTATTGGAGTATACCAGAGAAATTCAGAAGAAAATCAGCTTGTCATTCAAAGATTACAGCAAAGCTTTTGACTGTGTGGATCATGAAAAGCTATGGATGGTTAAAAAGAAATGGGTGTGCAGGAACATCTGATTGTTTTGATGTGCAACCTGTACTCTGGACAGAACATGGAGAAACAGAATGGTTTCCAATTGGTAAAGGTGTCAGACAAGGATGTATTCTATTTCCTTCAATCTATATGCAGAACATATCTTAAGGAAAGATGGATTAGATTCAAATGAAGGTGGAGTGAAAACTGGTGGAAGGAACATTAACAATTGGAGATATGCAGATGATATCACGTTGTTGTTGTTCAGTCGCACAGTCGAGTCCGACTCTTTGTGGCCCCATGGACCACATCATGCCAGCCCTCCTGTCTTCCATCATGCTCCGGAGTTTGCTTAATTCCATGTTCGTTGCATCAGTAATGTCTAACCATCTAATCCTTGTTGTCCCCTTCTTCTTTTACCTTCAATGATTGAAGTTCAATCTTTCCCAGCATCAGGGTCTTCTCCAGTGAGTGCTCCCTTCTCATTTGGTGGCCAAACTATTTGAGCTTCAGCATCTGGCCTTCCAGGGAACAGTCAGGGTTGATTTCATTTAGCACTTACTGATTCGATCTCCTTGCAGTCCAAGGGACTCTCAAGAGTCTTCTCCAGCACCATAATTCAAAAGCATCTATTCTTTGGCGCTCGGCCTTCCTTAGGGTCCAACTCTCGCAGCCATATATTACTACTGGGAATACCATCGCTTTGACTATGTGGACTTTTGTTGGCAAGCTGATGTCTCTACTTTTTATTATGCTGTCTAGGTTTGCAATCGCTTTCCTCCCAAGGAAGGAGCAGGCGTCTTTTAATTTCATGGCTGCAGTGATCTTGGATCCCAGGAATGTGAAGTCTGTCACTACTTCCATTACTTCCCCTTCTATTTGCCAAGGAGTGATGGATCCAGATGCCATGACCTTAGTTTTTTTGATTTTCTTCCCCCCCCATTTTTTTCATTTTGATTTTGATTTGAGTTTCAAGCCAGCTTTTGCATTCTCCTCTTTCATCTTGAGCAAGAGGCTCTTTAGGTCCTCTTCACTTTCCGCCATTAGAGTGGTATCGTCTACATATTTACTGGAAGAGAATAGCGAAGACTTGAAATGACTCCTGAAGAAAGTGTCAAAGCTATAAGCAGGATTACAGCTGAACATCAAGAAGACCAAAGTAATGACTACTGGGGAATTACACAACGCTGATTATGAAGAAATTTAAATTGTTAAAGATTGTCTATTCCTTGGCTCCATCAGCAACCAAGAAATCAGAAGGTGATCGAGACTGGGAAGGACAGCCATAAAGGAGCTAGAAAAGATTCTTAAGTGTAAGAATGTGTTGCTGGTGACCAAGATCAAGATAGTTCATGCCACAGTGTACTCCTAAACTCTCCCTAGAAGATAAACTGCTTAAGTTGAAGCTATCGTACTTTGATCACATTATGAGAAAACAAGTGTCACTGGAAAAGTTGAAGGCAGCAGGAAAAGAGGAAGACTCAACATGAGATGGATTGATTCAATAAAGGAAACCACGACCCTCAGTTCTCAAGACCTGAGCAAGGCTGTTGACGATAGGATGTTTTGGAGATCATTAATTGATAGGGTTGACATGAGTCTGAAGAAACTTTATGGCACTTAACATGCACGCGCGCACACACAAACATTTCATAAATAAGTAATGTGACAATTATATCCCATCCTATCTTGCAACACAATCCGATTGCATGATTTAGATAACATTCATTTATTGTACGCCTTGGGCAATGCACTTTTTGGAAAGGCCAAATATGCATCTTTAAAGAGCTATTATACCAACAATAAGAACAATGAAAAATGGCAAATTCAGGGTGCAAAGGTAAGAAGTTGCAAGCCTGAGATACATTGACCCATTATGAAGACAGGGGTTTGTTCCAATACCCTTCTGTGTTATTTCCAGAGGCATGAAAGGTAGTTAGCCCCATTTTTGTCATGTGCATATTTTAGAGAGTTATGCAAGAGATTATTGCTTTTTTCTCCTAACAGCTGCATCGTTTACTGAAGAGAACTATTGAAACCT